ATTGCATGAAAAAATTACACCAGTCCAAGTTGAAAGCAGATTCCAAATGGATACATTGCACAAGTAAATCTATCAGCTTGAATTAAAGTTGTAAAAGAGCTATTTTAATATACTGTATATCTTAATATAATACAATATACTCTTTCCAAAGAGAAATCTGCATCCATGGAGTTAACTAAATCTTTCAGTTTCATTAAAAAATTAAACTTTTTCAATTACTTAAGGACAGAACATAATAAATTATTTTCCAATACAGAGGGGGAGAGAGTTGATGCCAAAATGAAAAGACTAGAATCCAAGTATGCCCCACTGCATCTTGTCCCACTGATTGAAAGGCTGGGAACCCCACAGGTAAGGGGTGTTGTGGTTGCTAGGGATCACAAATTGGGTGGAAATCTGGACCAGACCAGTGGAGGGAGGGGTTAGACCAGTGGAGGGGTTGGAAGCAGCTGTATGTTATTGTGAGGCCAAAAAGACTGCTCAGATCTCCATCTCTACAGGTGTCCTAGTGCAGCAGGTTGGGAGGATTAGAGATGGTTATGTAGAAAAGGCTTAAACATCTATCTCAGGAACATAGATGTACTCAAAAGATGTAACCTGTTGTCATACATCACCTGTTCATGAACAAAGCTTTTCTTTTTTCTCTTTTGGTTTTTTTAAGACAGGGTTTTTCTGTGTGGCCAAGGCTGTCCAGGAACTCGGTCTATAGACCAGATTAGCCTTAAACTCAGAGATCCACCTGCCTCCTGAGTGCTGGCTGGGATTAACGGCATGCACCACCACTGCCCCATTGAACAAAGCTTTTTTTTTTTTTTTATGTTTTTTTTTTTCTTAGAAGAAATTGTAACAAAAGGCAAAGTATCAGAATAAAGTTTACTCCAGATCTGCCATACTTAATTGTTGGCACCGTTGCCAGTTGGAACCACTGTGTGTGTGTGTGGACTTTATTTAGTGGCAATGCTGGCTTCTACCCACTAGAAGCCAGTAGAATTTTTGTGACTACCATAAATATCTTTGGAAATGGCCATATAACCTAGAGTCAATGTTGTTGCAGTTAAGGATAGATGTACTTCATTCTTCTTGACTCATCTAATTTAATCTTTACGACATACTTATTGTTCTAACTTATTGATGCTTGCTTCCACAAACCTACTGCCAGCTTGTCATTTTCTGTCTAGTACGTCATAAACAGACCTGGAGATACTTTGTTTTTAGCCCTCCAATACTCTATCATGGCTTGTAATATTCCATGTACTTTTTGCAGCAAATTGCAATCGCAAGAGAAGGGGATTTACTGACCAAGGAGCGGCTTTGCTGTGGGCTATCCATGTTTGAGGTCATCCTGACACGGATCCGGACCTTTCTGGATGATCCCATCTGGCGGGGGCCTCTGCCCAGCAATGGGGTCATGCACGTGGATGAGTGTGTGGAGTTTCACAGACTATGGAGTGCCATGCAGTTTGTGTACTGCATTCCTGTAGGGACACACGAGTTTACAGTGGAGTAAGTATGTGTTCTGTGACTCTCTGGAAGAGGACAGTTCCAGGGAAGGTGGGATGAGGGGAGGTGGTTGATGAAAGAACAAATGTGCAGTCAGTACTGACGACAAAAGCTCTCTTAGAAAGTGCACAGACATTGCACTGACTAAATGCTAATAAAATGGGGTTCCTTCCTTGATGTCAAAGGACAGACTCAGAATAAGGATACTGGAGTTATGTGAATCCAAAGCAACTCAAGGCAAAATTTGGGTATTCCTCTTTCTGGGTAGCAAAAGTTGTTTTTCATAGGTCTGTGACCTACCAAACTGGCATTTATCAAAAATTGGGAAATTGCTTGTGCTCATCAATTCTTCTGACAGAGAATCTGTTTAGACAAAGAAATTAATGTAGCCTGACAACTGCTCTTTGGAGACAGACTCATGAGAGTCTGCCTGTTCACCCTTTTTGTTGCTTGGTGCTCGTAGGCAGTGCTTTGGCGATGGGCTCCACTGGGCTGGCTGTATGATAATTGTCCTCCTTGGACAGCAGAGGCGATTTGCTGTGTTGGATTTCTGCTACCATCTTCTCAAAGTTCAGAAACATGATGGCAAAGATGAGATTATCAAAAATGTGGTATGTAGACAAAATCTTTTACATTTTTCTTGGGGAGGAATTTTCTTATCCTAACATGAAATTCAAGTTTAAACAAAAAGAAATCCAGAAAGCCCTTATTTTTAGATCGGTTCTGTTTTCTTTTAAGGTAATTAGATCTACTTTTCATCTTACCGTAGAGATTCTAGATTCAGATTGTTGACATACCGTTCTAGTCTTCTGGCTTCTACATCAAAATGTGCTTCTGAAACTGCTTTTATTATCTTTTTCTCATCTTATAAAGTTCCCCACAATTGAATGATAGAAAATAAGTCAGCCATTACGTTCTCATACTTTCTTTCATCTCTCCTTTTAGAAGATTGAGACTTTTCTGCTTTCCATGTGACTGACTTTGATTTTGGTTGCTGCCAGAACTAATCATAGGCTTAAGGCAAGAAATCCTACCATTGATTATCTCACTTTTAAGTGTCTGCATAGTTCAGCTGATTGCCCTGCTTGGCCTCACAGGGCTAAAAGGAATTGTGTTTTCCCCAAGGGCCCTGAAGGATGAATGTGCTTCCAGTCTCCTTAAGTCCTTTAACTATAGAGAAATGAGGTCCATTTCCTGCTGTCAGCTCGTTTCCTCACATTCTTGCCACAAGGCACCTTCAAGCCACAAGGGATCAGCCACTTTTGCCACATCTTTCCTGTCTCCAACTCCTACAACTTTTCTGCTCAGATGATTGGGTTGGGTCTGCCTGCACAAATCCAGGAGCTCTTTTGAAGTTCTTGTCAATCACACTTGAAAAGTGCTTTTTGAAAAAGAATATCCACAGGTGCAAAGGAATTCAGTGTGGGTATTTCTGAAGGGTTATGGTAGCTCTCATACCTCCATTTTCTTGGCTCTCTTTGAGGTAACTAACTCATTTCAGGTGGAGTTGGCTGGGATTTTTACTTTTAAACATTTTTCTCCATTGTAATTTGGTTAAAATCTTGGCAGGGATATTTAAATTGGAATGTTCCCCTCTTGATATTTTATAATCTAATTCTGATATTTGAAAGCCTTGGAGTCTCTGAGGGCCCTGTGAGACTGTCATATCCTTGTGTTACATGACCTATTTGCAAGCTTCTGTTTTGTTTAACCGGATTTAAATGTCTCCTTCAAAGATTTGCTACTATTCATTGCCTATTGTTATCCCCTGTGTTGTTAGAGTTTCTTGTGAAAGCTCCAGGTATAGACCAGGCTATTTTTTCATCCCAGCCTATCCTTCTCATCTTTGCCTCCTTTGTGGGCAGAGGAATGCTTTCAAGTTCTAAGTTGTCTGTGACCTTTATCCAGACTTAAAGCATCTTCTCCATAGTACTGTTAAACTGGAAATACGCAACTTTTATTAGTTCACAGGTCTGTGTTCGTGTCCACGTTCTTTTTCTTTGTTTGCTTTTGGGCTTTGGAGAAAAGCGTCACCCAGCATGATCTAGAACTCACCATGTACCCACCCCCCCCCCAGGCTGGCCTTGAACTCACAGTAAACCTTTATCTTAAATAGTAGAGTACTGATATAGCCACCACTCCTGGCCAACAGACATGATAATTGAATGAACAGGTCTATATAATGTATTCATTAATTTGATGGTGATATTTAAAAGATGATAAGGGTCAATATAATTTTTCTGTAATAGAGTCCTTGCATTTTAAAGCACAATAAATCTAACAATCTGATCTAATTGTAGCCACTGAAGAAGATGGTGGAGAGGATCCGCAAGTTTCAGATTCTCAATGATGAGATCATTACTATCCTGGACAAGTACTTGAAATCTGGTGATGGGGAGAGTACACCTGTGGAACATGTACGCTGCTTCCAGCCACCTATCCACCAGTCCTTAGCCAGCAGCTGAGGGCTAAGTTCGAAACATACAGTAACTGATGGCATGTTTGTCTTTATGTAAACTATATTGAGATTTTTAGGGGCTATTTTGTCTGAACCTACTTAAGGGGGTGCTTTTTGATCCAAAAGCTTAACTTTATAAAACTTACTTATTTTTCTAGACTAAAATTGTATATGCCTTTGGAATTGGGAAGTATGAGAACCTGGTTGCCAATTGTTGCCATTATTATGGTCTTAACAGGTATTTTTATGTTGAATGTTCCAGTAGCTAGCTATAAAATACTGAATTCACTCATCCTGTAAGAAGCATAATACCAACTAATTATATTTTAAAAATTCCCTACCAACTTTGGTTAAACTTTAATGACTAGCTTTATTTAGGGATTTTTTCTGATGGTCTTTTAGGAAATATTTTCTAAGTCATTGTTCCCTCTGCTTCCACAAAATCCACTAGTGACAGTCTGATTTGAGATATGATTTAAAGATTAGAGAAATAAAAATTAATGTAATCTGTTTGTGTTCATTCATTGGTACGGCAGGACAGTCCCTGACAAGCACATGCTTAACTTTACATTCACATTTAGGCAGGGATGCACTGAAAGTCAGTGACATGTAAAGCAAAAGCTGTGCTGTCCATGAAGGACATGAAAGAAGAGCACCAAGACTTCTAAGTATGTGCTTAGAGTTTTCAAGGCCAACAGTTTGGGGAGAAAATGGCATGGGACAGTGGACACTGCAAACAAAAGGAGGGGGGCTGGGGAGAATTTGAACCCTGTCTCCACCAACCTTCATCCTTCCCAATTGCTGGGGGAATTGTCTCACTCGGCTTCAGTTGGTCCATATGACATACCAATTGAAAAACACAAACCCACTTTGGCTCTACTATTGGAACTATGAAAGCAGATAGAAATTGAGACTTGGGTACAGTGATTTGTGACTGACATCCTCCCAGCTGCCCCTTGGAATGAGGATCACTGGAGCCCAGAGTTCAAGGACGGCTTAAGGAAGATAGCAAGAAATATCATTGGGCTGGGAAACACCAAAGTCCAAAAGCTTTGAGTTTATTACACAGAAAATAAAACACAGGTACTATCCTGCTGTACTGTAAACCTGAGTTACATCTTTAATAAGCCTATTATCAAAAAGTTACCTAAAGTATTTTTGTTGATATGAAGTGGTAATTGCATCTGTACTCTATGAAGTGTAGATTTTAAAAGTTGATGACTATACTACCAAATGATAGCCCAAATAAATGCTTGTATACAAGATTATGTACGTATAAAGTGTTTTACGTACAACACATTCTCAATGAGGAAACTTTTCATTCCAAAGGGAATGAACACTGGCTTTTTTACATGTGCAAAAATAAGACATACAGTACATAAACAGACTTACAGTTATCTGTGGGAAGGGGAAAACAAACTATTATCTCTGGTATTGAAGTTACATAGGAAAGCTGGAAATGTAGCTCAGTGTAAGAACATTTGTGTAGAATATTGACACCCAGATGGCAGCTGAGAAAAAAGGTAAGAGCTCCTCAGAGTGGCAATAGTAAGACAAAGCTGTCCCACCCACCCACACTCCCCAAAATGAAGATTTCACAAAGCTGGTACTAAGCCACTATGCAGCCATGGTCAGGAACAGAAAACAAGCATAGGTCCTAAATTCAGTTCTTCCTGTTAATGGGGTAGTCTGGAGGGAAGGGTGTGTGTTTGTTTGCTTGGCCAATACATGACTTAAGAAATGGGAAGGTCAAGCTGGAAAGTGCTCCTAACATTGGCCTAGTTTTTTTTGTACTTGTTCTCATCTTTCCATAAACATTCTTCACAGTTTCTAAAAAAACCAAAATGTGTAAGGTTTAAACTCTTAAGCAAAATAAGAGACCATCTTTTAGAAACATTTTAAATCTAAGCATTTGGAATCAGAGTAAGGACCTTGTTCCAACTTGTCATTTTATCCAAGCATGAGTTTCTAAATTTAACAAACTGCATGAGCCAGGTGGTGGTGGTACTCACCTTTAATCCCAGTCCTTGTGAGGCAGAGGCAGGCAGGTCTCTGAGTCTGAGCCTACCCTGGTCTATAGAGTGAGGTCCAGAACAGCCAAGACTACACATAGAAACCCTGTCTCAAAAACCAAAAAAAAAAAAACTGAACAAGTCATCTTTGACATCCCAGAGTTGTTAAAAGGGCTGAATGACAACACAGTCCATCATGAACATATACCGAAATGTCCAAGAGCTCACATGAGATGACCTCTAGTCACTATGGACACAGGAAGTACCTCTAGTCACTATGGACACTGGTGCTTTCCAAAAGGAGGCCATCAAATTCGAGTGGGAAACCAGATGTTTGGGTGACAAATCACCACCTGAGAATTATTTTCTTGGAACCACACACACACATATATTTATAATCAAAAACCTTAGTATGGTGAGGGATTGATGGAATAGGAATCACAAATGTACATTTTAATGTTCATCACCAATGAAAAAAAATAAAACATTTTTATAGGCTTATAGGCTTAAAATTGTCATTAGTGCATTTAGATTTCTGGAGAATGAATAAAAATGTAAAATACCTTTATAATAATACAATGTTACTAGAAATTAGCCATGTACTGAGGTCATTTTAGTGAGCTACCATTGTTTAAATATAAGAAAAGTAATTTCTTGATCCAAATTAGTGAAAACTTAAAAAAGATTGTCTTCAGAGGACATTATTTGAGGACAGTTTTTTTTTTCCCAGATACATTCTGATACTCAAAAATCACTTAACAATTATAGGTTTTCAATCATATCCTTAAAAAGATGTCAGATTTCCATTTCTACGGGAGATGGTATCACCAGTAGTGTGTTCAATCCCACAGGGTAAACCTTCTTCGTTATTATTAAGAACTTCATACATACTAGAAAGACTGCCATTCACTGCTTTTTCATCTTTTCGAAAAGATACAGGCAGACTTGCTAGACTAAAACTGACATCTTTAAAGGCATGCAACAAAAATATCCCCACAATGATTGTGAAGAAGCCACTCAAAGTCCCAATGACATCATCAACAGGCATATCTTGCCATTCTTTAAAAAGAATAGCTGAACAAGCCAGAACTGAAGTTGTAAAGAACACATAATATATTGGAGTCACAATGGAAGTGTTGAAAATATCCAGAGCCCGGTTTAGGTAATTAATCTGTGTACTCACACAGACCACAAGGCTAAGCAGCAGAATCCAGGCCAGGGGATGCTGCAGAACAGGCTTTCCAGCCAACAGCTCCTTGATAGTGATGCCCAAACCCTTCACACAGGAGACTGAAAATGCTCCAATCATAGAGCAGATTGTTATATACACAAGAATGTTTGTCTGTCCATGTCGAGGTCCTACCACAAAGATGAATATGAAGGCCACAATGACCACAAATGTTGCAAAGACAACAAAACCTAGAGGAAGCAAAGAAAAGCTATATTAAGTCAGAATGCAATGCACATAACAAAACAAACTCAATAGGAATGGCTTATGTATCTCCCAGTATTCTGATTTATCTTGAGTATAAAGCAGACTCCTATTTGATGAATTAATTTTGAAATGTACTTTAATGGAATTTGTAAGTTACTAATAGAAGTTAACACATTCACAACAAAGAAAGGTAATATGTAACAACAGTACACACTGGAAGCCAGAGTGCTTACCTAGCATGGGAAAAGCCCTTTGTCTAATACTTCACAGTATCACTTTAAAATACATACTATAAAATTAAAATATAACTCATAGCTTAGAAAAAAACTTACACCACTAACATTTTTAAAGGAATCTCTTATGCCTACTTAAGTATTTTAACTCACAATGCAAAGGGAAATGGTAATCAGAACAGGGAAGGAAAAGCCAATGGAGGCTAAGTGCAGAAAGTACCCTTGAATATCCAACATTTACCCATGCAAAAATCAGGAGTTACGAGTTGTTTTCTATCAAAGGGACACATCTGAAAACAAGGGAAGTATTAGGATAAGCATCAAATCATAAAGAGAACCTAAAAACTGCTGGGGTTCTGGCTGAGTAGGGAGAAGAGTTATGCAGCACAGCGGCCAATGGTACAATCATGTGAGCCAGGCACAGCTCTCAGATTTGCACTCCACTGCAGAGAGCTCACAAATGACCTTAGGCATTGTAAGATTAAAAGGTGGAAAGGGGATGTAGGTGGGGCATATACCCATAACCTTACCAGTCTGGAAAAGGAGGCAGAAAGAACCATGAGGAATTCATGATTATCTTTGACTATAGCAAAAGTTGAAGCTGGCCTAGGCTACGTGACCTTGTGTCAAAAAGAGAAAAAAAAAAAAAGACAAAACAAAACCAAAGAACAGGAAACAAACCAAGTCTAAGAAAAGCCACTCTGCTTCAAACTCCCTAAATAAAGGCTATTTAAAGCAGATGAAAACAAGGACAGAAAAGCACCAATAGAAATACTTTACGTGCTAGAAAGTATAGGATAACTCAATAATACAGCAAACCTGAGAAAACTGAATCTTTAGTCCTAGCACTTGGGAGGCAGAGGCAGGTGGATCTCTGTGAGTTTGAGGCCATCTTAGTGTATACAGAGCTCCAGACAACCAGAGTTGAGACCCTCCCTCCCTCTCCCAGGCACACACACCCCACACAGGGTGGATTACACATGTTGCAACAGAATGTGACTCAGAACACTCACCCACTGTAGAACAGTATAAAGGTGAGAGAGAAAGGACACTGCTTCAAAGTCTACCCAGGCTACCTAATGTGCTTGAGAGTAGACTCAGACAAGAATTCTAAGAGGAATTGGCAATTTCACAGGAGTAATTAAGCAAATAAGACAACTATCACTTTAGGCAAATTTCAAGAAATACAAGAAAAGGGGACAGTGATGCACACCTAAAGCCCAGGACATTAAACACTGAGGCAGGCACCAGGAATTGGTGGCCAGCCTGAGCTAAAAAGTGAGACATTGGATATAAAAGAAGCAGGAAAGAACGAAGTAATCATAATGTTTAAGACTAGAGGTTTCATTGCGACACTATGAAGAGATATTCACTGACTACGGTCAAGTAAACAAGTTAAAATGTTAAGTATAGTAACACTGATGAAGCTTCTTACCTGGATCACCTAACTTATGTGACATTTCACTTAAGGTCTCAATCTCCTCCTCCTTTGGAGCATGAATGACCATAACTGTAGACCCTAGAATACTTAGCAAACACCCAATTTTCCCATGAAGATTAAGTCTTTCATTTAGGAAGTATGAAGACAGAATGGCACTAAAAGGAAGAATAAAAGGTTGAACATTTAAATTAGCTTTTTTCTCACTTTTAAAAATTAACAGACTAGCAATACAGATTACTGAGCTCAAACAAAAACACCTCTTGCTTTTAGACAAAGAAAATCAGAAAACTATAACGAAGACTTAAAGGTTGCTTTTACCTGGATTTATGAGCATCCAACTAGTAAGATAAAAATGTGGCACTCTGGAGGCAGAGATCCAGAAGGATCTCTGAGTTCAAAGCCAGCCTGGTCCACAGAGTGAGTTCCAGGACAATCAGGGCTACACAGAGAAACCCTGTCTCAAAAAAAAAAAAAAAAAAAAAAGTGGCTTTTGCACGTGTTTCCTTTGCTCAGTAAGTATATCCTGCAATCATCTTAGATTGAAAGAGTAAGTCTGATCAATAACCATCGTCATGTATGAACTGCCTCCCAAGCAAAAGCGATCCCTATAGCCACAGTAACTAGGACCTCCTAATCAATTAGCCTAACCAGACTGATTGAGACTGCTTGGCTGTGAATACTTCCTCTCCCTCTATCAACTGGGAGCTCATGTCAGTACCCCAAAAAACACTAATACAGACACTGTCCCTTGTCTTTCCAGCATAGTATACTGATGGCAGTTTCTGTCTTGCCATCTCTACGGCTTCTCTCTCAGACTGGCATTTTGGTATGAACCACAGAACCTAGTCTATTACCATCAGTATCTTTGTCCTAAAACTCCTGGAACAAAATGAATCACCTGCTTGACATACACTGAAACTATGCATTTACCATCTTTTTTACTACAAGACTCTATAAGAAATACACAGTATAAAGAGCTATAATTTATAAAAAATCTACATCCAACCCAATGCTTTAAGTTACCAAACTTCAATCTACTAACGTTTGCCATCTTTTTAAAGTTTATTTATCTCCTCCACCGCTGGCATTCATTTCTGTTTCTCTCTGTGTGGGGGTGAGAAGGCAACTTACACAAGCAGGCTCTCTCCTTTCCACAATGTGGGTCCTGGAGATCAAACTCATCATCAAACTTGGCAGCAATACTTTTTACCAGTTGAGCCATCTTACCCACCCTTATGTGTTGATTTGCCTATAATCATCCTAAGTTACCTGGAAATACAGTTTGGAAACAATGAACTGGGAATATTTAATTAGTCTGCCTATAAATTACAAGGTTTTGTTTTTTGTTTGTTTTTTCAAGACAGGGTTTCTATGTGTTGCTTTGGAGGCTGTCCTAGAACTCGCTCTGGAGACCAGGGTGGCCTTGAACTCACAGAGATTCATCTGCCTCTGCCTCCCCAGTGCTGGGATTAAAGGCATGTGCCACCAATGCCCGGCAAATTACAAGTTTTTATAACTTCCTTTTACCCAAATCTAAAAAGAATGTGCAGGTAAACAAGTAAGATCATAGTATAATACAAGGAAAGTTAAAGATAAAACATAATTTTATTTTATATGTAATTTATTAGAAAGGGTGGTAAAAGTTCTCAGCTTTCAAAATAATAAAAACCTTCAAAGAGGCAGGAAGGTTGAGTTGGGGAAAGAATAGAGGAGAGCAAGGTAATAGAGGGAGCCATTATAGGCTTAAAGAGAAATCAGGCACTAGGGAAATGTCTGGAGATCTACAAGAATGACACCAACTAACAATCTAAGCAACAGAGGAGAGGCTACCTTAAAAGCCCTCCCCTGAAAATGAGATTGATGACTAACTTATATGCCATCCTATAGCCTTCATCCAGCAGCTGATGGAAGTAGAAGCAGACATCCACAGCTAAGCACTGAACTGGAACCCAGTTGCAGAGAGGGAGGAGTGATGAGCAAAGTGCGCAAGACCATGCTGGGAAAACCCACAGAAACAACTGACCTGAACAATGGGAGCTCTTGGTCCTCAGACCGATAGCTGGGAAACCAGCATGGGACTGATCCAGACCCCATGAACGTGGGTATCAGTGAGGAGGCCTCAGAAATCTATGGGGCCTCTTGTAATAGATCAGTACTTATCCCTAGCTTAGGAATGGACTTTGAGAGCCCATGTGGATAGAGGGATACTCCCTGAGTCTAGGCACTATCCCAAAGGATATGACAGACTCTATAGACCCCCCCCTCCATGGAAGGCCTCACCCTCCCTGGGGAGCTTTTAGGGCATGGGATAGGTAGAGTGTTAGTGGGGGGGGGGCAGGGAAAGAGGGGAAGGGGAGGGAACTGGGATTGATATGTAAAGCAATCTTGTTTCTAATTTAAATAAAAAATGGAGAGGAAAAAATAACCTTCAAACAGGCTTAGCTATTTGGACTAATCATTACAGTAACAAAAGAGGAAAAGTTTTATGTTGGTCTTGCAAAACAAGTACCTTAGGCCAGTCTTTAGAGGCATACAACTTCCTCCAAGGCTTGATGTTTTATAGTAGTTAATGTTCTATGGTATCCAATCTACCATAGTAAGTGTATCCTGAATGGTAAATGCTAGCTAGGCAATTGTAAATTTGACTTTTCTAAAGTTGAAATCATTAACATGTTGGTCCTGTATACAAGCGAAAGCATAAAGTGATTTTGTCCCACAAATCAGTAACTATACAAAGTGAGTACTTTGAAAAGACATTACTACAAAATATTAAAAAGTCTTCAAGGTTATTCAAGTATACTAACATATAATCAAACAGCATTTTAGTATCTGACAGATGAAAACACCTTTTCTACATGTCAAATGTAGAACCTTACCTTACAAGAACGCTGAGAGCGCCTAGCGGAGTCACCAGTGTAGCTGGAGCAAACGCATACGCAGCAAAGTTGGCCACTTCACCAGCTCCCACTGAATGATGGACAACAAAAACACCTCTAAGAATGCAGTCAACTTGACTATGCCTGCATTTTATGCAATACATATGTATTTCAACTATATTGTTGTTCAATAACTTCCCTATCTTCTCTCATGTATGTTATTAGTGCTGTAAATTGCCAGTATCTGGTATCCAACTCAAGAAACAAATCTAGTTTTAATTTTTAAAAATATAATTTATGCTTAAAGTTAATAAAGATATTTGTAAACTAGGATAGCAAACATAATTAAAAGAAGCAGATACTGATATAAAGATATAAAGGTAAATTTCACAAGATTTAACTGCATCCTCTTTTTCAACAACCCAACCTTAAAGACATTAAGTGCCTGAGGATATATTTTCAATAGAGAATTTTTGATTTCTGCCAGGTACATAGGCACTGGCGATTCAGGAGCAAAGCAAAGCAAAGCAGTTATCCAGGGATAAGCCAGTATATAGTCTACCTCACTCTAAGACACAGCCTTAGAGTTCAGCCCAGAACATGCAATAGTTTCCATTATTGGCAACCAAAGTCTGATCCTTGTTAGTCCAATTCAAAGGTCCACTATCTCTTACCTCCTTCCTCTAGGGCAGCAGTTCTCAACCTGTGGGTCATGACCCCTTTTGGGGGGGTCACGTATCAGATACGTACAGAAGATTCATTAACAGTAGCAAAATTAGTTATGAAGAAACAAGGAAAATAATTTTATGGTTCAGGTCACCACAACATGAGGAACTGTATTAAAGGGTCACAGCATTAGGAAGGTTGAGAAGAACTGCTCTAGGGTGTCATTTCTAGAGCTTATTATAGGTCCTGGATCAAAGGCTATTCCTCAACTATCACATTAGCTCTTTATTCTTTTGGAGGACTTTTTTCTCCAGCTTTGTAACTTCTTTTCAGTGAAAATGTTGGCCCGTTGATCAGTAATTGAAGCGATTACTATATCACTTCAATACTGCCTTCTGTTTGGCAGGGGTTTGCTAGTAGTGGTGGGAAGTATTTTTTTCTTTCTTTCTTTGTTTTATTTTAATTACTTTTTTTGAGACCAATTTTCATTATGTAACCTGGACTGGACTCATACTTTTAATTTTGTTTTTATTTTATGTGCATGGGTGCTTTGTCTACATATATGTCTGTGTACCCTGTGCATACCTGGTGCATATAGAAGCCAGAGAGGGTATCAGATATCACAAAAGTAGTTAAAGGCAGTTGTGAGCCGCTATGTGGATGCCGGGAATTGAGCCCAGGTCCTCAGAAGAGCAGCCAGTGCTCTTTACTGTTGAGCCATTTCTCCAGCTCCTAACCTCAAACTCTTGATCTTTCTGCCTTAGCCTCCTAAGTACTGGGATCACAGATAGTCATGTGCCAGCCACCATTCCAAGCTTCATGTTTTTATTACATTTTGATCAGGCATACGAAGTAGTGTCATCCATTGTCATTTTCATTTTCATTCACGTCCATCACTGAGGAATTTCAGGGTAGGAACCCGGAGGAATGCTGCTTACTGGCTTTTTTGAAAAAATAAAAAATTTTAATATATATGTGTATGAATAATGTGTATGAATGTTTTTGTCTGTATACATGTACACTACATGTGTGCCTGCTGTCCAAGGAAATCAAAAGAGGACTTCAGATTTCCCTAGAACTGTGAGCCACCACATGGGTCTTCTGTAAGAGCAAAAAGTTCTCTTAACCACTGTGCCATCTCTATCCAGCTTAGCTGGCTTGCTTTCTTATACAACCCAGGATCACCTGCCCAGGTTGACACCTGCCACAGTGAGCCAGGCCCTCTCATCATAAATCATTAAGAAAATGTTCCACAGATAAGCCCACAGGCCAGTGTGATGGAGGCAATTCCTCAACTAAGGTTCCCTCTTCCCAGATGACTCTAGTTTGTTTCAAATTGACAAAACTAATCAGCACATCTTTTCTCCCTGGCCACAGTCTATTCTCTGATCACATGCCACTGTCAAATGGGGAGGGAGTGGTGTAGTGTTTCTATTCTTACATTGTCCTCACTGACTCCCAATGATCTGTCATGCCTCACCTAAAGAGTAACTGGGGCTACAAGCACAAACCACTGTGCCTGGCTCAAGTACAGCACCACTACATCCAATTGTACTTTTTCCTGATACTCAAAAAAAGTTGTGTGTAAAACTAGGTGAGGGCACATGCCTTTATCCCAGCACTAAGAAAGGGGGAGCAGGAAGGTCAGAAGTTGAAGATCGTCCTTAGCAATTATCTTAGCAGTTTAAGTCCAGCCTGGGCTATAAATGTTGATTTAATGAGGAGAAAGGTCCTAACTATGTAGCTCTGGCTGGCCTCAGAGACCTGTTTGCTTATGTTGGGATCAAAGGTGTGTGAGCAACCATACACTGTGAGATCCTGTATTTAAATGGGGGGAAAAAGAAACAAACCAAAAAAACTACTTTTTTAAAAATGTATTTTGTTTTCTTTTCAACAGCCCCTGGCTGCCCTGGAACTCAATTTGTAGACCAGGCTGGCCTTGAACTCACAGAGATCTGCCTGCCTCTGCTTCCCAATTGTTGGGAGGCAGCATCTTTTCTCCTATACTCCTGAAGTCTCAATGTATCTAAGTCTATATTTTAAGTATCTGATATTTGAACTTATACATATTCTTACTTCCTAATGACCTCCCGCAGTATTTTGACTTTACCATAGATAGCAACTCCAATTTTTTGCAGCAGTCTGAATGACCTGGTAGAAATCCAGACCTGTCCATTTAATTGCCAATTTCACCTATCTGCTTAAATATTTTATATGAACTTTTAACATTAATGTACTCAGAACAAATTCCTCATCTGCTCAGGTCCTTCCTATATCTTTAGCACCAGAACAGTCATTTGTATTGACTGTGGCCAAGTCTTCAATGTCCTTCTTTTACACCATGCATTTTGATCAGTAAGAAAATACATACATCTTGTCAGTTCTACATTGAAAACATATTCAGAATTCTTCTCACTATACTCCCTGGCACTCCCCTGGTCCATACTGTCACCTCTTTTAAACCTCTGTAGCCTGACTGTACAGTCTCTACATAGTCTATGCATCAACAGGCAGCCAGAGAAATGACACCACACCTTTTGCTCAGGATCTCCAATGGCTTTCCATCTAACATCAAGCAAAACCACTTTCTGTGATGCCAAAAGCCCACATGACTTAACAAAAGCCCCCTTTTCTCTGAAAGGATCTCTGAATGCTTCCTGAGGTTTAAATATTCTAGTGTTAAGAGAGCAAAATCACTCTAAATAGTTTACTGACAAGATTTGTTGGCCCAGACTTTAGGAAATGGTCAGGATCTTTTCAGAATTTCTGTCAGCCAGGCAGTGACAACACACAACTTTAATCCCAGCACTTGGGAAGCAGAGGCAGGTGGATCTCAATGAGTTCAAGGCCAGCATGGTGTACAAAGCAAGTTCCAGGACAAAAAACAAGAACTTGTGTTAGATGTATAGCAAAACTTCAACAGTCTCTGGAGGCTACAGCCATTTTCCAAGGTGGCTGTTGTTCAGGGATCTTTCTAAAGACAGTTTGAATGTCTTCACAACATAGCATCTGGCTTCCCAAAATCAAGCAATCCAAAAAAAAAAAAAAAAAAAAAAGGGGGGGGGATGCTGCAATTCCAATTATGATGCAGCCTTAGAAGTAGTACATCATGACTTCCTGGATTCTGTGATCATACTGGGCCAGCACTAATTCCATGTAAGAGAGGATTACCCAAAAGTGTGATTACCAGGAGGCAAGAATAACTGGGGGCATCATAGAGGCTAAAACATTCACAGGCTAGTCACAGTAAAGTAAGGTGTGACCTTCGTGGTCTCCTATCTAAAAGTCGGTCTATCTACTCCCCAGTTCATATCCCCCTTCCAGCTTTGCACCACACACACACACCTATGCCTACTTACTGTCTGCCCCACTTACAATATAAGCTTCTTATAAATAGGGTTTGGGGTTTTTTTTTGAAGGAGATGGGTGCTTTTTCCCCTCTTACTAGTATATCTTCAGCACCAAGAACAATCCTTGGCATACAAGACATGATCAACAGATAAGCACCTGTCGAATATTCAAGTCTCAGATGTCTTAAGGACAATTTATCTCACATTTTTAAAAGATTCATTTTTGGTGCACACTTTTAATCCCAGCACTTGGGAGGCTGAGGCAGGTGGATGCCTGTGAGTTTGATGGCAGCCTGGTCTACAGAGCAAGGTCGGGGACAGCTAAGGCTGTTACATGGAGAAACCTTGTCTTGAACCCCCACCCCCAAAATTAATTTTGTGTCTGAGAGTTTTACCTGAATGTAGGTATGCACAGCATGAGCATGCCTGGTGCCCATGGAGGTCAGAAAAGTGTGTTGGATACCCTAGAACTGGAGTTATGGATGGTTGTAAACCACCATATGGGTGCTGGGAATGGAGCTCAGGTCCCCCACAAGAGCAACAGGTGCTCATCACCAAAATAAATATCATATTAGAAAGATATTTCCTTTCCAATTTAGAATGAGAGCTAATAAAGGAAAAGAACTAAAAATTTGGGTTTTTTTTTTTTTTCCCTTACCATTTACCTTTTTTTCCCTCCTTTTGGCAGCACTGGGGAACCAAATCTTGGGTGTTTTACATATTAGCCAAGTATATATTCTTCCGTGCCCCCCACACACACACACACACACACACACACACACACACACACCTTTTAATCTACTTATCCTGTAAATGTTTTTAAAGGAAAAGATATATCAAAAATGTTTTAATCTGATGAGTTTTTTTTAAAGATCTTACTCAAAATAAATAAGCAATTAACTGAGTTATTTATTTCTACAGGCTTAAATCTATTTTGAGTCTAACATATGAGAAGCAAGATAAAAGTTTTAAAGTTTACTAATATGAACTGTAACAACATATGTCAATATTTTAACATATAGCTATAATGTTTACTTGAAATGTTGTCTATACATACTTGACAGCAGTCCAGCCCACCACAACCATTCTTTAAGATATGCATGGCCACCTTGACCTGTGAATGAAGAAATATTTCATTTCTTTGGAAAATTATCTTCTCTTGTAAAACCTGTAAGAACTATTAAGTAATCACAGATTTTAAAATGTCTGATTATGAGATTTCTTGAATATTTCATGATAGCCTTAGAAAAGATAGGATCATGACAAATCTTCAAAATGTTTACATTAGTACTATGCTAGAGTTAAAGAACAAACCTAACCCTTGTTGTTTAAACAGCAGCTTTAATAAGGAAAATGAACCAACAAAATAATAAAACTGAGCATAGTGGTGCACACCTGCAATCCCAGCTCTTGGAATTCTCAAGCAAGATGAATCCTACAAGTTTGAAGCCAGCCTGGGCTATAAAGTTCCAGGAAAGCCTGAACCAGACAGAATGAGAGCCAATCTGGAGGGAAAGCCATACAGAAGTAGCTCACCTTCAAAGGAGTCAGTCTGCAAGGGGGAAAGCTATTTAGATGTGTGCAGCCCAACCTGAGAGAGCACTGTGCTCATACAAAGACTGAGAACTGCTCATCATCTAGGCTGCCAGGAGACAATCTACTTTTTCCTTCATTATTTCCCTTGACCAACCTAAGTCAGGAAGCAACTGGTACTTCAGCCATAACAAAGTGAGCCGGGCAGTGGTGGCATACACCTTTGATCCCAGCACTTGGGAGGCAAAGACAGGAGGATTTCTGTGAGTTTAAAGTCAGCCAGGACAACTAGGGCTGTTATACAGAGAAACCCTGTCTCAAAAACTGCCCCCCAAAAACTGCGCCCACAAAGTGAATGAATTTTACAAGCCTATACTTTAAGAATAACAGGAGATGCCTTAAGAGCAAGGTAGAAACACTATAGAAAACCAATGAACTGCTAGTAATTTCTCCCTTGTCCATTAAGTCCTAAGTGACTTCTTAATTTTGTTGAATTAGATTTGGCCACATAGATGGCACAGGAAGAAAAGTGGACCCTGTGGCTGACAATAATGGTCTAGTCTACTCATGAGGTCCAATAAGGTCTAAAATGAAGCCCAGCCAAGATGGAACATAAGTATTAATATCTCATAATTCTGGGAACTGTAGTGAATATCCATGGATTGAACTAATGTTCACTTATACTCCAGGGTCATGTAACACATCAGCAACTTGAGGGGAAACAACCTACACCATTCAGGTCAGTTAGTGGAGGACTCAAGCCCGGCAAGGCCATTCTTTCCCTCATGCAATTTGAAATAATAATAATAATAATAATAATAATAATAATAATAACTTCTAAAGTAGAAGTCAGAAATTCCACTATCACATACAAAATATCCCAGTCTTCAACAAAAATCTGGTTCCACTCAGAGAGCCTATTTCCCCCTGTGCAGACATAATGAAATTTAAACTCTGGAAACTAATTTGGCGGCACTTGTCCTGTCCCTATTCTGATATTAACTACAGAAGTGAACAGCTAATTACTTTTGTCAACTTATTTTTCTCATTACAAAACTGGTATCTGATTATGTAATAAATATTCAGAAATCTCTTAAACAGTTCAAATGTTCTAATATATTCACAAAGCATGAAGACAGTGCTTCCATATGCAAAGAAGCCAAGTGTGTGAGTTATCTATGTACTTCTGATACCTATAGGGTATAACTTACCTGCTCTCATGGAGCCTTTTCTGGCTAGTCGTAAAAGACCTTTTTTTTTCAAAATGAAACTCCCTCCAATGAAAATGCTGGAGGTCATAGCCAACCCCAGACCGATATAAAAGTCATATTTTCCACGCCCCAGGCTCATTTCGTTTGTTACTTAAGTTCCTGTGAGTGACATTGATCACAGAACACAGAAACTGCTTGTACTGGAGGCAGGTACAGTCTTCAAATCTAAATGATACAAAATAAAGTGAGATTTTCAGAAATGATCATGACAGCTCATACACAATTCAAATTATTTACTTCATTTCTGTCCTCAAAGAAAAAAATTTTTTTTACTGCTACTGATTTAGAAATACATATAGTAATCTAAACTCAGCACTAACCCAATTATATTTCTTATTATGGCAAAAGATTGGACTGTAATACAAAGTAAATTTTGGATTAATTTTAAAAACTCTATCTTTGAACTGTTTTCAACTACTTCCAACCTTAGGTGATATTCCATAATTTTGCTGTTAGGAATATAACAAAAAAACTAAATATAACAATACATAAGTCTAGGTTATCAATATACTTATCAACTTCTCAAACCCCTTAAGGATTCATATAAAGAAATTAAAATTTTTCTCATGCACATATTGTTCCTTAAGAAATACACCTGGGGCTTGGTGTGGTAATAAACACCTATGATCCTAGCACTCAGGAGGCAGACTCGGAGAAACTGGAATTTGAGGCCAGCGTAGGCAACACAGGGAGACCTGAGAGGGGCAAGGAAAAGGAAGCTGTATGGATACACTAAGTATATGCTAATCTATTTAGCCTATCTGGAAACAGGCTGAGAAAAGGCAGTTTTCGCACTGCTTTGTTAGCAAAGGATGACAATTTTAACAAAGATATCTACTGGGATATGGAGTGTAATAGTGTTGGTCTTTAGAGGACATAAGGACCATGGCACCAGAAGGCTCACTCCACAGCTCTAGCAATAACACAGATTTACAATAGATGGTACATTTATTTTCCAAATGAGCCAACTCATGAACTTCACTAAAAAAAAAACCCTAAAGTTTACAAAGTGGGGAGGGATACTTTTTTTTTTTTTTTCAGCGTTTTGCATCCCAGACTAATACAGCCCAGGTTGGACTTGAAGTAAAAATAACTCCTGCCTCAGAGGATGAAGTCACAGATCGATACAACCATACTTGGCCCCAGAACATCACTGTTCAAACAGTGCCATTAGATGTATGCCATATTAAATGGTAACAGGTTTTTTTGGCTAAGTAGCCAATGGCCAAGCACATGCCTAACATGCACAAAACTTTAGGTTTAATTCTCCAGCAAGACACACCCAACAAAATGTACACACAAAACAAAAACGCTAACTTTTAGTATTCAACAGGGAGGCAGACAGATATATAGCACTGTAGCAACAATAAACGTTACCACGCAGAGTTAGTAGCACTCCAAACACAGGGAAAAGACCAGTGGAGTGAGATTCATCATGATTCATATAAACAACAATGAGCTACTTCTTGTCTCACCGATTTGGGACTTGGCTACCAGGCCTGCTCTGGTAAATGGAGAGAAAATTATGTGGTAGATTGACACTTTAGCATGTGGACCTAAAGTCCCTCACAATTTGCTTGTTCCTTTGTCCCCTGCCATGACCACGTGTGATGGCTAATCTTGGTTGTCAGCTTAACTACATCTAGAATCAAGCAAATGCAAGCTTCCAGGATTTCCTGTAAGAGATTTATTTCCTTGATCAGATTATGTGAAGCAGGAAGACCAACCCTAAATGTGGGTGACATCATAAGGTAGCAGCCAAGAGAAAAGAACATGGAAGAAGGAAACTGCTTTCTGGCTGCCTGCCCTGACTCCTAGCAAGTTCATTTATTTGGGTGCTGGCATTCCCTCACTGATATTAGAACCAGCTGTGTTTTTTTTTTCTCTTAATATATTTCTAAATTAAAATATAACTGCATCACTTCGCTAAACTTCCCCTTTTTCCTATAGCCTCTTCCATGCCACTCTCCCTCTCAAATTGAGAGGTCCTCTTGCAAAAGACCTAGTTCAGTTCCAAGCATTCATATGGTGGCTCACAACCACCAGTACTCTCCAGTTCTAGGCAATCAGACACCCTTCTTCCAACTCCCATGAGTAGTACGGAGGCACATGCAGTATACATACATACAGGCAAAACACCCCCACAAAAATAAATCTAAAAAAATTTTTTAATCCCCTCTGTATTTTTTTCCATCTGTTTTGTTTTTAGAGATTCCTGACTAATAAACCTTGTAAAAGAGCACACGGCACAGAGCCCATAGATCACAACACAGGAAAACATAAGAATTATCACAGCTGACTCAACATGTGAGCATGATCATGTTTACTACTATATGCCCCTAAGACAACTAAACACTTCAACAGACTTTGTACAATAAGTATAAAATTTCCAATATGGGAGCTTAATGGCAAAGCCCTAGGTTTGATCCCCAAGAACTACATGAAACCAAGTAAAATGCACCAAAATGTTTATTTACTTATTCTATTTTAATTTTTAAAAATCTTTATTTTTTGTTGTTGTTTTTGAGTCTCTTATTCTGCAGCCCAGGTTGTCCTCAAAGCTGCAGCAAAGCTCCTGCCTTAGCATTTCAAATATTGGAATCACAAGGTATGAGTGAGTGACCATGTCCAGTTTTCATCTGATTTCTGAAAAATAAAAGTTTGCATGTAGAAGCTTAGACCAGGCTGACCTTGAACTCACAAGAGATCCACCTCCCTCTGTCTCCAGAGTGCTGGGATAACAGGTGTGCGCCACCACCACCACCACCTGGCCACATTAAAGGTTTTAAAACACACCTTTAATGCTGAAAAGTTGCAGGATTCAGGGCAGAAATCACTACCAAGTCCCAGAAGCAAAGCTGCCCCAAATAGTCTAAGGTAGTATCCATCATATGAAGGAGAAACAGGTCAGACAGCAGTATCAGTGTAAACATCCATGTGAGAAGCATGGATACAAAATGTTTCTAGGATTGCTTTCAAGGGATTCCTAGTTCTCACTCTGTAGCTCCTAGGCAAAGAGTTCTGAGACTGTCGGGCTCTAATTTCAACAGATACACCTAAGAAATAAGCTAGACAACCTAAGGTACTGTTCTCTTTATGTGCACGAACAAGTGTGACCTTAAGTTTAAATGTAACTTCCTCATGCTCTGACTGTAACCACCAGCGACAGAGACAGAAACATGCAGGGAAGGAAAAAGCAGGAGAATTTGTGGACAAGATGGAAAAAAATTCTATACCACTATGACAATTTAAAACGGAATTCTGCTTACACTGTTTCTATCCCATTCTACATACCTGGTTTACTTGTTTATGAGCAAGTCACCTAAGTCCTAGGCAAATTACTGGCCTTTTATGCCCTTTTATGCTCTGGCAGCTCCATGTTTTCTAGATCAATACAGATGAATAGAATGAAGCTAACTGACACCCGGTCAGTCTCCTCCCAAAAAGCTACCTATTCTGGAGTGGCCATTAATAGATAATAAATAGCTTCATCATCTAGCTCAGCATTGCTATATGGAAGGAAACTATGAGAGCCTATAAAGTTTGAGAACTAAAAAATATCAAAGTAAACTAGGAAGTAATTAACACTACCTATTAGTAAAATGCAATGACACTGGTCAGAGTCTGGGAAAATGGTAAATAAAAAAAACTTAACTATCCCAACACTCATGTCTCAAAGTAAGGTGGAAGGCAAAGACACACAGGTGAGATTGTCCTCTAATCTCTACATTTGCACCAAAGAATACAATCACACACCCCAAATACACCACACACACACACACACACACACACATTTTTAAGCACAAGTGACCAATAAATATATATAAAAAATAATGTTTAACATCTTTAGCCATCAGGAAAGTACAAATCAAAACTGAACTGAGATTCAACCCAGTCAGAATGGCTATCAAAAAAACAAGAAGTGTGTGGGAAGGGTGCAGGCAATAAGGAAAAAATATTAATGGAAATGTAAACTAGTACAGCCTATTTGTACCTGTATGAAAGTACTTCTAAAAATTAAAAAAAGTATATACAATCTAACTATACTATTGATGGGCCTTTACCTGAAGAAATTGGCAGAATGACACAAAATTATCTTCATACACATGTTTATTACAGCACTGTTCACAAGTCAAAAAATACCAATAGCCAATGCCTACCAAATGAATGAACAGAGAAAACATGTCATATACACATGGACTTTTATTCAGACAGAGAACAAAATTACATCATCTGCAGGGAAATGGAGCTGGAAAACATTGTTAAGCTAAACAAACCAGGTTCATAAAGACAAATATTTCATGTTTGTTCTCTTATGTGCAATTCAGATTTCACACACACATAAACATGACAAATTTGTTTTAAAAAGGTGCTACTTGGCAAAAATAAAAATGAAGACAAGGGAACAGGGAGTAAAAAAGGGTAATAAGAGAAAAAAACATATCATTTTTCTCTTATATGTGGAATCTGTATGTAGCACATATAAAAAAATCCCAGAGAAAACCCAGAGACAGAAGAGTTCAAGCCAAAGATCAGAAAAGCAAAGCAGCCAGCCAGTAGCTCTTACCTCTACCAAGGCTGAAATGGAAATCCTGTCTTCCCTGTTACTGGAAACTGAATCTTATATGAGACCCATTGCTTCTTCCTTATACACCTATCTAGTGCTGGGATTAAAGGGTGAGCTCTGTTTCTCTTTTAGACCTATTCACTCACATGTAGCCCTACATGGTCTTGAACTAATAGACATCCATCTGCCTCTGTCTCCTGAGTCCTGTGATAAAAGGTGTATGCCACCACTGCTTAGATTCTATGGCTAACTAGTGTGGCTGACTTTGCATTCTGATCTTCAGTGACTTTACTAAATCATAAATAATCTATCACCACACATCTATATTTTCGTGTGTATGATGAAAAAGAATTATTGGGGCAGGGGGAGGGATAACTAAAGATGGTAATAGAGTAAGAATATGAATAAAGTATAATATACTTAAATGAAAATGGGATAATGAAGCCGGGCAGTGGTGGCACACGCCTTTAATCCCAGCACTCAGGAGGTAGAGGCAGGCAGATGTCTGTGAGTTCGAGGCTAGCCTGCTCTATAATGTAACACAGAGAAATCCTGTCTCAAAAAATAAAAACAACAACAACAAAATGTAATAACGAAA